CAGTAGAAGATTAGATTCACACTTAAAGTATTAGCCTTCAGAAAAGTACAGCTCACAGAGAAGAAATACAACTGTAAAGGAATACATTTATCTTTTTACATACTGCAAATCTCACTGCTGTCATGTTGTATGAAGAGTGAACTGTGTGGGCAGTGGGCTATGTGCGGGTCACTGACACTAAGGTAAGACACTTTTCTTTTATTGGGGCCATTTCGAGATGACAGCATGCGAAATTGCAAGAAGCACCAAGAACATGGGAGTTCTTGGTGCTTTGTATCTCTGCTTTTTAACTGGCTAAATCATCCTCTTGTTGCCTTATTTTATTGGGCAGATCTTCTACAAAGGCCAGTGTAAAGTTAAATAAACTGGATACATCGTAAAGTGAGATTGCGTAATGTACACAGTGATAAAGAAGCATGTGTTCAAAACAACACTGGCACACATTCATAATTGTCCTTGTAAAAACATTTGTAAAAGATTTACAGTTAACGTTAATCGTCAACTCTCAATGTGTGCCTTCAAACATTTGCAAATCCGATACTTAATGAGGCAGTTTTACCATACAGGCTTTGATGTGTCCTTGTACTAGTATCAGTATGTATCATCTTATTAAAAGTTAATTAGTTGGTCTAGCTTTACCCTAACCCATTTGTCGTGCATTACCCTAAGTGTCCAACACAACGAGTGATGAGTGCGAAAGCCACTGAATTGATGAACCTGTTTAGTTTGGAAAGGATGGGTAAAGTAAACAATTAGTTAAGTTTGGGCAATAATAATCGTTGATAATGTTCAGGAAAGATTGTGGTTTGGGTTAAATTAGTTAAATAACTCAACGACTTCTGGTTAATGTATTAACTTTACAATTTACACACGGCATCAATTGCACGTCTGTCCGTCCTGGGAGAGGGATCCCTCCTCTGTTGCTCTCCCTGAGGTTTCTCCCATGCTCCCTTTAAACTGTGGGTTTTCTCCGGAAAATTTTCCTTGTACGATGTGAGGGTCTAAGGACAGAGGGTCAAAGAACAGAGGGTCTAAGGACAGAGGGTCTAAGGACAGAGGGTCTAAGGACAGAGGGTCTAAGAACAGAGGGTCTAAGGACAGAGGGTCTAAGGACAGAGGGTCAAAGAACAGAGGGTCTAAGGACAGGGGTTCTAAGGACAGAGGGTCTAAGGACAGAGGGTCTAAGGACAGAGGGTGTCGTATTGTCATACTGATATTCTGTACACACTGTGAAGACCACTGAGACAAATGTAACATTTGTGATATTGGGCTATAAATAAACATTGATTGATTGGTTTCCAGAATATAAGCAGCAATCTCTTGATATGAAGCCATTTGTTTTTGGACCCTCTTCACTTCCTACATGTTTAAAATGTGTTACTCTTTATACAATGTCACCTGTTTCACAAAAACGAAGGATATTTATGAACTGATTACATGGATTTATGAAATTAAGTGTTTTATTTTTGTAGACAACTACAAGCAGTATAAGAGTAAAGCCTGACTTGTTAGGGTTACCTTTTAGACACAACTGTTGATCAGGGGAAAAGCATGACAATTTCACACATAAACAAAATATTATAAGGAATAACAATTGGTACTTTCAATATTTTATTTCACATCGTCGTGTTCTAGCGCGACCAGGACACGGTTGGATGCTGTCTTTGTGTTTGAGCCGCTGCCAGGGTCCTATTGAATTACTCAGAAAAGATCTAAAGGACCTAAAGTGTCGCCGGGCATGCTCTCCTCACTCGCATCCAATACACTTCAAAAGCTCTTCACAGGTGGGCGGGCGACGCATTCACAGCCGAGCTATCAGCTAAATTAAAATGTCCGCCATATCTGCCAAAGCTTTATAAAGAATGATGTTCTTTTATCAGGACAAAACATTATGCGACAGGAACGTTTGGAGAGAAGCTGTTTGAAGGGTTTGATGTGTGTTCTTGTAAACATTGCACTGTGTTTTAGGCGCTTTGTGTAATTGCAGTCCTCTTTCCTCCCAAGTCTCTAGTCTCCTGCTGCAGCTGTGGCTGCTTATTAGATGTTGGCTCACACACTGACAGAGGCAGCAGCACCTTGGGAAATATATAATGTGCTGTGTGAGAGTGTGTGAGCTGAGCCGTGAGTCACTGAGCTGCTCCTGTCAGAAGCAAGACCACAAGCCAAAACCTGAGGGAGTGCAACTCATCAGAATAAACACATAATGTGATGTAGTCCAATCTGACAGATGGAAAGGTCTGAATTTCTAAACCTTGTTCCAGACATTAAATTGCAAAGAAGGATTTGTGTCGCTCCGTTAAGTTAGACGTAACTAATTGGAATTTGCTCCAATGATTGTTGTGGTTTGTCTAGTCTGCCGAGTCAAGTAATTAACTAGTCATTCTGAATGTTTATCATGTGAAGGAAATAGTGTGGTGCAGTGATGACATATTTTCGTATGCCGAGGGTTAGCATCTTAGGCGAGGCTTTCGATAAAAAGCAATGAGATTTTTCATTGTATTTTTTGGGTATATTGCAGAAAATAGGATCTTTGGCAAACATACATTTATGTTACTTACATGTGTTTTTCAGCAGGATAACCTTTTTGAAGCGTAAATACAATCGGCGGAAGTAAAAAGCTAAAGTTAGGCTGAAAACAAACTACAGCACGGCAGCATTTCACATCACCACCGCTAAGCTAACGGCGGCTAATGTGTGATGGCGTTTAGTCTCATTTAGTAAACCAGCAACCAACGTTTTATGACACATAAAAGCTTAGGACAATCACCATTGGGCCGATGTATTTTATGTCGTAGAACAAAACTTTAAAATCTCTTCAGCTCGTGTTAACCACAGCCCTTATTTCAGGCGTCTAAAACCCAATCACGTAGAACAATGGTGACTAGAAACGAAGGAACAGGAAGTGTTAAAAAGCCAAATCTTTTGGGGGTTTTAGGACTTATTCCTGCACCACTCTATAGCAAGGCAAGGTTTTGGCAAGAATCTGTCAACAACATACCTGTAATGACACAGATTCATTTGACCTCTCTTTAGAAAACTGTTAGTAAAGTAGACTTTGAATGCAAACAGTAGAATCTGCATTATCTGGTACAAAGTGCTGCTTTTTTGCATCTGAGCCGTTGTTTTTCATGATAAATTGCATCGTTTCAAGAAGGAATGTTTCCTTCTTATGTTATCATGTTAGCCAGTGCATCACAACATGTTGGCATGACAGCAATCTGGGGCATTTCTGATTCAGTACTTGATGTTTTGGATTGTGATGAATGTGTCTAGATAGGAATCAAATCCAAGTCTAACCTTGAGGGGAAAAGATACACGAATGCCATTAAAGCTCTGTTGTGGTCGCAGCAACACATACTGTATCAGTGAGCAGGGAGAGATATGTTCAATATTTGCTACTTAATCCTTCAACTTCATACTTTTCCAGCATCAAGTGTCTATGAGGGGGGAGGGGAAGTGGAATAAAATGTGTACTTGTTGCTGGTCAAAAAGCTTCAGGCTCAACTTCATATTTGTCTTGCTATCAGCAGGAAGTTCCCAATCTAATTTTGCCCTTTTGGCCTCCCTCGAGTAACGTCATGCTTCGAGTCACATACCTTCATTAGACTGAGTCTGTCTGGGGCTGATAGCCGTCTGTCGCGCTTCCAAAAAACAAAATAAGGTGGCTGTCTATAAAGAGAGAGAGACGAGACATTGTTTGGATGAGTAAACCAAATCTTCTGTCTATTGTCTGCGTCTTTAAGACACCGGAACACCAGAGGCTGAGATGGCAACAAGTTTCACTCAAAGGTTAGACGTTTGTGCCTTTTTAAATGTATGAACATAGTAGACTAATACAAATTCCTACTGTATAGACATGCAGCAAATACAAAGGTGGACATATTCGTGTGGGAACACCAACAAATCATTAATCCACCTGTCAGGCCAGTTTCTATGTATACTCTATTTATAAATGTCTGTGTGGTATGTTTCCCTGCCCTTAAGAAAGAATCTCGCTTATTGTCAGCCATGATAACTATTGCTGCTCATGCTGCAAATACCTCTGTCCTATCCCCCTTTACTTTCTAAATATACATATTACAGGGCCACACACAATATTAAGATTGTGTCCTATTAATTATGTAAATTGAGATTAATTTAAATGTGTAGGCCTTTGGTAAGAATGCCAGTCATCATGTGCTTAGTGGGCGAGCAGGTTTATTGCTTTGTCCTGAACATGGAGGCATTGCTTAAACTGGTTTTCATGATCTTATCATAACCTTCTTCAAATCACAAGCCACACCAAAAATAGGCACACATGCCTCTAAAAGCCTCAATGCAGAGCTGTGTTTGGTCTGAATGCCAACTTGTGCGTAGTCCCCCCCTAGAGTGGGTTGTTTTAAGACATTTTCCCATTACTTATGGCCTTTCTGCCACATGAAAAACGTACTGGAAACAGTCCTTTCAGGGCAAAGATTTAAAGAAACCGTGTACAATGTGGACGGGGAAATCACTGTGCTGTTACGAGTCAAAACTGTTTGGCTCGTAACGCCAGATTGTGTGACTAATCTCTTGTTTTTGTCACTTGTATGGGGAAAATTGGTGAATTCAGTGAAAATAATGTTGGACGTCGTAAAACATTACAAAAAGGACATTTACATTAAAGGTCGGGTAGGTAATTTTGGAGAAACCAGCTCGAGTGCGCTAGAATTTGAAAATACACAGCCGGAACAAATCTGCCACTTCCATACAGAGCCCCTCCTCCAACACACACGAACGCGCACATGACCAATGAGGGCACGAGATAAGTTTGTGCCCAGATGGAAGGCTGACAGGCAGGTAGGCCATCCAGTTACTTTAGCCGGGCCGGCTCAGATGATTGGTCGTGCTTTTTACAGCGCCACGGCTTCCACTGAGGATATATTTTTAATGGATTTCTTGTCAAAGCACTTCAGATATTCATTGCTATCGGGATGTTAAGAGCATTCCATGGAATATAACAAAAGTGTATCTCGAGCCGGTTTCTCAAACTTACCCCACCTTTAATGAACAGCTACTCTTCAACCATAACCAAGAACAGAGTCAGAATATGTAACATAGGTCAAAGCTACAACCCTCCTACGACACCACCAGGAATGTCTGCAGTTTTTTGGACACTTTCCATGTGTGTGTTTTGGCCCAATCTGCTCTCTGGCCTTGACATAATTTCATTTCTTTTTTTTTATGAGGATAGAGCATTTTGTTTTGCTTTTGTAGATATATTATGAGAACAAAGAAGTATGTTGAAAGAACATACATAACATTCATCTGTTTGCAACTCACATATATCTATATATCAATATTCCAATTACTGTATACTATTCTGTACAGTTTCTATCATATTCTGTTTCTATTATATTCTATTTATTGTATTTACTTGTACCGTTTTATTGTGTTGCACTGTTGGAGGAGCCTGTGACCTAAGCTTTTCATCGTCATAACTACACTGCACGTATTGAACCTTGAACCTTGTAAAACGTGACACCTTTTCTTACTGAATATATGTGCAAAGTCTTGTGATTCTGTCAACAACAGTACCATCACGCCATGTGTGGCCTGTTGCACAAACCATGATGGCCTGTTACACAATAGCCCAGTCTGATGTTGACCCCAGCAATGTTGTTATTCACTTACAGCCACTGGACACAGTTGTCCTCTGTTCACATGGGGGCAGGGGGTGACATGTAGACAGAGACCAAGACACAGGGTTTTGTTGTTACTGTCAGCACTGTTGTCATTTTTCTGCTCGTGACAGCTTCAATGCGGATACCTTCGTACTATTATTCAACCACTCTGTAAACTAAATGTTGAGGAGTTGGGTGAGAAGCCAAGGACAATGAGAGATAACAAGGGATTAAGATATTTTATGGGAAACATCTATAAGACAATGTGTTTTTGTTGATCTAAATGAAAAAGAACCTTGGAAAAACTACAGAAAGAGAAATATTCATACTTATTCCTTGTAATTTGTAAAATGATTGCTACTCTTATTACAAGGACTTGGGTAAAATATGCTGACTTAATACATACACAATGACAGAAGCTGGTAAATGAAATATATTTCGAATTAGAAACATGAGAAATAGAATATCTTTGTAAAACGGGTTAGATATAAAACATTATTAATGACTCTGGTTAGATTTGACACGTTGTAAATAATAATGAACGTAGGATCATTTATTATGTATCCATTATCCGATCATTATTACACAGCTTAGTTGAATACTCGATTCTGATTGGTCACTTTGGACATTCCAGAGGTTTGTTATTTCTGTTAACAGACCTCTGGACTATGTGCAGTCGTATCAATCCGCAGAAAGAAGTCCGGTTAATTTAACATCAGCTGTGGACAACAAACAATACAGTGGAACTCTTTTTGGAATATTATTTTTTATATTTCTGGTTAGTAGAACACTTTAAATTCATGATTGTGATCACCCTGTCTGTTTCCCTTTTTCATTAATGACCACTTTAACCCCTACCTATATACACAAAATGATTGTTTACCATGTTTTTCTATCACTTTTTCTGATTCGTCGATTGTTATTTCATTTTGTACGTATTGTAGATTTGACTGTTTCTCATGTAGGCGCAGTAACCATATCATTTCTGAAAGTTCAACCAAAAAAGAGCAGAGAAGTGTTGAGTGGGCGCTTTACAGTATAACAGAGAAAATAGGCAGAGATTGTTGTCGGGCCCGTCTGCAAGAAAATATGGGATGGAAAGAAACAAACGGTCGTCTTTATGTCAGCTAAAGCCCTCACAGAGAGAAGAGGAGCAGAATGTGACATCATATTTCGGACTAGTTGCTTTGTGTGAGGTATCATAAAGAAGCAAGACCTTACTGGATGTATCATTATGGATAGAGGGACTCAACAAATGCTTTTCTTCACAGCCTTGCACAGAGAGATGGCTGGCAGAATTGATTATCACTGTCGTACAATGGTGAGAAAACTCTCTGGGTTTCTTTTATCTCTTAAACCATCTGCTTTGTTCAGACCTGACCTCTCCTTTGAAGAATAGATGGATAAATAGATAGATAGATAGACAGACAGACAGACAGACAGACAGACGGACAGACGGATGGATGAATAGATAGATGGATGGATAGATGGATAGACAGATATATAGACAGGCGGATAGATAGATAGATGGATAGATGGATAGATAGATGGATAGATAGACAGGCGGATAGATAGATGGATAGACAGATAGATGGATGGATAGACAGATGGATAGATGGATGGATAGATAGATGGATGGATGGATGGATGGATAGACAGATGGATGGATAGATAGACGGACGGATGGATGGATAGATAGATGGATAGACAGATAGATAGATGTGTCGAGTCGTTGCATTTGAGTCCCAGTCTTTGAGTCACATCTGTAACGATGACGTTCACTGCAGCCTGTTCCAAACCAACTCCTCAGACGCTTCTTAGTCAGATAATGTTGTTTATCGCAATAATAAGAGCCTTCAAGCTTTGTTTTTAAGATGATAATGTCATGATGATCTGGCCTACACAAAGCGCTGTGTATTATGGCTTTGTGAGTCTTTAGTTTGAATGACCTCTCCTGCACCAAGGTCTGCCTGCTGTAGAAAATGATGGCGTTCAGAGGACTAATGACAGTGTTTAATGTGAAGGGTGTTGCTTGTAGTGCAGTGTATCTCAGCTGCAGAGAGCCTTTAAACGGTGTTTAAGTAATGTTATGAACTTGATTCTAAAACCCTTGTTTACAGCAGATAACTGTTTAGTGGAACATTTAGCAGCTTGGTGATTATTTTTCACAGGAGTGGGTGTAGAGCTAAAAGTAGAGTGAACACTGAACTTCAATTCATCAGTAGACACATACATATAAAAACTAATAATGCTTAGACGTTTAAATTAATCGCAAGTTTCGTATCAACAAATATATTAACAAGTGTTACATGGTGTTTTCTGACAGAGGAAAACTAATGTTAATGTTTACCAATGCTGACGTTAAATTGACTTCTTTCAGCGGATTGATATGACTTCACATAGTCCCTTGATCAGTGTCCTTAGCAACGGTCTGTTCTCCTTAGCAACAGTCTGCTAGCGAAAAAGAGCAGACCTCAGAATGATTGAAATTGACCAATCAGTAACGTAATAATATGCATTAGATTTCACCAAACACTTAAACTGGTACAAACACTTGTATAACCTACATTATAGTGTGTGTTGGAGCCGTGTTTTTAATATGTTCTTCTATATGTGTTTGTATATTGAGTATTATGAGTTTGTTTGAGGTAACTCTCTTTCAGCACAGTTGGTGGTATATGGCGTTCGGAGAAATCATAAACGACTCGGTAAGCCTCAGGTGGATGTGTTTATCAGAAGAGGGACAGAGTTCAGCCAGCAGAACATGGAGCTGTCATGTGTCGCACACTGAGCCTTCCGTTTGTTTTGCATGCAAGTTATTACTGGCATAAACCAAAAGTGCATGTGTGCATTACAGATGAAACAAACCAGCTTTCAAACAATGATCCTCTCTTACCACACCGGCCTCTGTGAAGCTGCACTGTCGCCACCATTCATCTAAAGTCAGGAAAATGTGTTTGTGATTGTGTGCGCACAGTTGTACAAGTTAAAGTGTATGTTAGGTCCATATGAACAACTGGAGCACACAGTAATGTAACCCCAGGCCTAAGGTCAGTTTGAGTGCATACGACCCATCACACACAGCCAGATGTGTGCATGGGCTTCTCTGCAGCTCTGTCTTGAATACACACTCTGTCTAACAGCGTG